GTGTGTTTACACCGGTATTACTGTAAGTGTTAACATTTTGTTGTGTGTTTTTGTCCTTTTTAGTAGCTTTTTTATATTTCTCTATACAGTTTTTAATTAGTACTATATAATTGTACTAAATATTTTTTATTTCAGTTTTAGGTTTAATTATTTTAGTACATCAAGTTACTGAAACTAAATTAAAATGAGAAATGTTGCCTTGGCAACTAGCTAAGATAAATAGATTTTCTATTTAATTTTATTATTTTATTTGATTAAATTTTTTGTTTTATTAAATTAACATTTATTTTATTTTACGTAACAAATATGTTTTTTTGGAGGGGGGGGGGGCAGTTTTAATTAACTATATTTACCTTTTTAAAATATATTTTTCAAAATAAACATAATTTTTACAATTATTATTAATTAATTAATTATAAACATCATCAAGTTTTGATGGAGTCGCACCACATGACACGATTTTACATCCTAAACAAATCTTAACAATAAAAGGTTATGTGATATTTTACCAGACATATTGCCCTTGAGACACAGTACTGATGGTCTTTAATGAAGGTCTTTAATAATCAAAATGTATCAAAAGTTATCAAAGTTATTTACCTTCTCTGACTGGTGTGTATTCAGGTGCAGAGACAAATCCAATCAGAAGAAACCCTGCTGTTAATGTGGCTCGACCCATGGTTCAAAGATTACCAGAACCACAGGACATCATTGACTGTCTAGAGCTGAACACTTTTGACACGCCACCATATTACTCGACTTCTTCTCAGAGCTTCAGGAACACTATTGAGGGTATGATACACTCACAACTGCAGATAACGCTACTTTTTAAAAAAGTTTTTTGAAAAATGTTTGGAGCCACAGACAAAGAGACTAGCACACCAAACAACCACCTACATAAACTCCTAAAAGCGAGGAGACTTTTAATTGGTGTTCTTGTGTGTCACTAGGTTACAGTGCTCCCCAGGGAAACTATGACCCAGTAGTGAGGAGTCTTCACAACCTGGCTCATTTGTTTCTCAATGGCACAGGTGGACAGACTCACCTGTCACCAAACGACCCCATCTTCATCCTGCTTCACACGTTCACTGATGCCATTTTTGATGAATGGCTTCAGAGACACACTGCTGGTAAACACACACACACACACACACACAATGTACATACACGCATAACCAAAAAGAGATTCATCTTTCAGCTGTATTCTAACTAGTGTTCTCTGTGCTTATGCAGCAGGCACAGTGGTCTATCCTGAGGAAAACGCTCCAATTGGGCACAACAGAGAGTTCAATATGGTTCCTTTTTGGCCACCAGTCCAGAAATGCTGAAATGTTTGTCACCGCCCCAGAAAACCTGGGCTACACCTATGAGGTTCAGTGGCCAAGTGAGTAACACAGCAAAGATACATACATACATACATACATCAATAAAAAAATACACTTCAGAAAAATAGTCTGTCATTGATAGGTAACTATGCAGGAAGTAATACAGGACTAATGAGTAGTTCTACAGTAACACATCAGCTACTACTATAAACTAATATGGAAACCAGATAAACTAATTTAGGACTGAGGTAATCAATAATGACTGAATAATATTGTCCTCCTCATTACAAATAACTGACAAATTATAAAGAATTACCAATTAATTACTAATCACAACATTACCATCTGTCCGAGATTAAGAGCAATTGCCTTAAATTGCCTGGTTACCATAAATTGAAAATAATGTTCCTGATATTGTCTATACACAGACATATGACATGGTTCATGTAATGCCATAATAGTGTCATGATTAATAATCATAATCCATCAGAACAAGTGTCCAGAATAAAAAGTGTCTCATGGTAAAGTAAAGTGGGACAACAGCCAGACCCTCACAAATAATTTAGTTTTTTTTTTTTTTTACAAAACATACTTTTCTGTAATTATCATTGAATTATTAAAACAATAATTAAGAACTAGGTTTTGTGTGTGTGTTTGTATTCTGTATAGAGTCTGTAAGAGCATTTTCATTTGCCAGAGATGAATTGGATGTTAAAGCGTAATTGTGATGCATGATTGTGATGCAAATGAAAACATTTGGAATGACTTCTGTAATTATCATTTAATTATTAAAACAATAATTAAGAACTAGGTTTTGTGTGTGTGTTTGTATTCTGTATAGAGTCTGTAAGAGCATTTTCATTTGCCAGAGATGAATTGGATGTTAAAGCGTAATTGTGATGCATGATTGTGATGCAAATGAAAACATTTGGAATGACAACCTTTGTGGCATCTATTAACATTTGATTTTCTGCTGATATTTAAAGGGCAATCAATCATGAAACATATTCATCCCACTTCACCCTATGTCACCCTATTTACAAAAAAAAAACAGATAAAATAAAGTCTGTTTCTGACCTTTTTCATCACTAGGGAGTGGCAATAATGACCAATTCAGCAAGCCATATCATGTCATGCATGCCACTGTTGCTTAGTCAAATCCTGACACAAGAATGGAAGAACTTCACTGAACTTAATGGGTACATTGAGCAAAACCTGGCAGTTTCAGCCATATTACAGTAACACAGGTTTTCAGATCCCATCCCATCACTTTAAACCTTCATCAGGTCCCTCTGCACTGCTGCCCCCTAGTGGTCCAAAAAGAACTGCATGTTTAAATCTTACATGTTCATTTAGTTGAGGGGTGCCAAGTCCTATTCCAGCAAATCTCCTATCTCACAAAGTTCCGTTCCAAACCTTATCATACACACCTGAATAATCTACTTAAGATGTAGCGATTACAGAAAAGTGTGCTGGAGCAGAGTTGGAGCTGAACTTTGCAGGACGGTAGCTCTAGATCTGGATTGAGCACCTCTGCTTGAAACAGTTTGGTACATTTTGTCCATCAGAAGATATCTTCAACCCTCATCACTTGTGAAATTTAAACTAATGATGATCTGATAATCAGACAATTCTAAAAACAAAAGTAAAAGAACACGATTTAAAAGATTAAAATAAAAATATTGCACATTTAAAGTGTTTTAATAAAAAATAAAAAAAGTACAATTGCTGATCATTTTTAGTAAAACTATTTTGTGTAAAAGGTGAGCAAAGAAGAAAAGACAAGCACAGATCTTACTTTCTTTTTGAAAATGCTTTATTAAACTACCTCTATAAATATACAATGCCAAAAAAGCTTTAAACAAACAATGCGAAATAGAAAACAGTTCTAAGTAGATCTAAAAAAAAAAGATAAGAATATTTTGGCAATAACATTCTACATTATCTAAATGTCCTCTGCCGAGGTCAGCTTGTCTTGTTCATTTGTCTTCTAGTAACAAGAAACAAGTGTAAAAATGGAGGGAAAAACGCTACACGTGTAGTGTTTCTGAAATGATTGCAAAAGAAAATGTTTTACCAATGAATGCATGATTAATTTGGGCCAGTATTTACTCCACACTGGCAACTTAGAGCCACATTTATATATCCACACATACACACATTCGCATTAGTTGAACACTTTGGCAAAAAATACGTTTTTGTTGTTAAACGTCTCTAAAGCACATATAATGAGATGGAAATATCTTCTTAAAATATATTAATAACATTTCCTCTTACTTCATACACAAAAACATTGTACTGTATATATTAAATATATCCTGACTGCTTCTCTCATAATAAAAGATTAGATAACAGACAGAGAAAAACTACTGTGGATGGTTCACTTTTCTCAAAAACACACAGATATGCCATATCCGAGAGAGAGTGTCCTCGATGATTGCAGCAGTGTTTAAAAATGTGTCTCTAGCTTACGTGATGTGAACTGCATGGATTGTCATTCTTTGTTTGGTACATTGTGAAGTTTTCCCCAAACTTTCACTCAGTCTCTTCTTAAAAAAAAAAAACAGGCTATACTTAATAAAACATCAACTCTGTTAGAACATGAAACACATGAAAGCATAATACAACATAAAGCAGCACTCTAACACTCAGAGCCCCCATAGAAACAACAGTATAACACAGAAAAAAAGAAGAAAAAAAACTAGACTTTCTGAAAGAAAATAGGACAGAAGAGGCACTGTGGTATCACAAACAGTGTTTAAGAGGTCACTTGACAGACAGCAGTCTGAATAAAGGCCCATGTGACATACGCAGTCCTACAGAAGGCATAGTGGTGGCATACAGCAGTCTTCAGAAGGACATTAATATGATATACAGCAGTCATTGAAAAGACAATGAGGATATTAACAGGTTCTATGAGCTCCCTGGTTTCAGTTTGGTCCAGTTCATTCCAGTTCTAGGAGTATCAAAATACCCCTAAAAAGACAAAAGTGCCTGCTCACACACATATTGTAAAGCATATACACATACACAAGAACCTCTAACACCCTAAAATGTTTAAGTGCACATCATTGCTAACATACCATACTACAGTAGCTACACAACATGGAGTGTGATCTACAAAAATGCAGGGTTAGAACTACAAAAGACAGGAAAAACTACAAAACTCGATGGACCATCTGGCTGCTCATCTATAGGAGGAATTGTAATTTGTATTAATGGCACAAAAGCGGATATGAGGGAGCCTGTGCTCTCCTAATGATGCACATAAGACTTCACAGGACTGGATGCTGGGAATCACAGTAGTGGTCTGAAAAATAAGGGTTGGTCATCAACTAACACAACCAGTACAAGTAAGCAGAACTAAGTCATCATAAATAATGCTGTATCTTCAACCCAGCTACTTTTTTGTCAGTCCAGTTTGTGCATTTAAAACACATTAAAGGGATAGTTTACACAAAACTGAAAATTCTGAAAATCATTGAAAATAATTTATTCGTGTCATTCCAAACCTGTATGACTTACTTTCTTTTGTAGAACACAAAAGTAGATCTTGGTAACCTAAAAGTTTTGGTTACCATTGACTTCCATTGCATGGAGAGAGAGAAAAAAAAAATATCTCAAAATATCGTCTTTCATGTTCCACCAAAGAAAGTAAGTTATACAGGTTTGGAAAGATATGTAATTTCATTTTTGGGTGAACTATCCCGTAAACAGGGAACAAATGTTATCCAGCATATATCCGACTGACTGAAAAACTTCTCTTTTTCCAGTTTTCTTTTTCTTGAACACATTGCCTCTGAGAATGTGAATGAAAACAGTGTTTGTCTATCTTCCAGTTTAGAGAAGAAAAATATCCTCTAGACAATAAAAACAGCATCTTCAAACCAACTAAACAGTACAATCTTAAAATAATCTAAATATAAAAATGCACAAGCAAATAAACAGTTAAGGCGGAAAAACGAATGCATGTATTTGCATATAGACTCGCGTGCAGGAAACCCAGTGGACGGAAGATTCCGACGTCTTCAACGCGTTTAGCAAGTATATGTTATAAACTCAAAATACAGCCTTTTCATGAAACACTTTCAATCTTCTACTTCTGTGGTTGTTGAAGTTCCTGCTCAGCAGTTGTTTGTTCATTTTACAGTTTTTCTTCATAAAACAAAAGTAAATGCTCTGAAGCATACAGAGGCATTAAATACGCTCTTTTTAAAGTCCACAAATACTACAACGTTCCTTCAGTATTCTTGTGGCCGTGAATGCAGAGGAGCGATATTAGGAGTGTGCGGCGACAGGAACGCTCTGGCTCACGATTCTCAGCTGGAGTGTGTGGGGAAGACGGTGATATGTCAGTAGGTGTGCTTCTTCTGCGAGTCTTATTTTGAATTACTTCATATGAACATATCACTCGGAGTCAGTCCACATCTGTACTGGTGATCAGCTAATATACAAGACCTCTGCAGAATGATAAAATATGCAAATGGACATTCGAGAACAGGAGTTGTCATTCATTCAGTCGTGTGATGGCTTTGGAAATCAGCAAGTGTTGTCAATTCCTTTAGGAAGTCGAACTGACAGACTGCTTCCTATTGATCTAAAGGGAAAATAGGTGAGGTTCTGGTCACATTGCAGGGTTTGAGTCCATAACTTAGAACACAAAAGTCTACCTGTCTTGGTAAGTTAATCAGTAGCATATAAAAGTGGTTTTGGTCTAGGTCATACATCCGGATTAATAAATGTGGGCCAGAGGGGCTGATGAAGTTGTGAATAAATTTAGCAGAAATCTACATCCTTGCTGCCAGCATCTAATCTAAAGGCTTCCAGGGAGCTTCACACGAGTCAGAATGTGTTAGTTTTGTTGTATGTCAGTTTCACTCTGCGTGGTTCAATTAACCAGCAGACTTCATAGTTATGCCGTAAATGTCTGATGGCCTGTGGCGACGCGGTGTGTGTAATTGTAAGTCACTGTGATTGATGCTGTGAGTGTCTCAGTAGGTCTGGTATATATCGTGAATGGGCATCTGGAAGGTGGCAGCGGCAGGGAAGGCCTGAGGCATGTACCCAGCATACCCTCCATAGGTTGCGGCGGCTGCCACAACAGCATTCTTCTGCAGGGCTGCCAGCGTGGCGGTGTTGGCGTGGGCGGCGATTGGCATGTAACTGGCTCCATACAGACTGGCAGCTGCAGCCGGAATCCTCTGCACATTATGAGCCATAGCGTAGATGGGAGTTATAGGACGACCCTGTGAGATAAAGAAATAGATTGTTACACCACATCCTAATTAAACACCATCAAGCAACGATAAATAAAGTGTTTTTGACAACGACCATGATGGCGGGTTGCTTGGCTTTTATTTCCACGCTGGCATGCTGGGTAGGTGCTGCCTAGAGTAAAATCTCAATGGTCCCAAACAGAATACTGTATGTGAATGGAGGGGTTGTCATTCTCTGCTCAAAGATTAAATAAAACCTGGTCCAATTTCCCTACACAGCAAACACATTTGCATATTAAAGGCAAAGTTTGCAGATTTTCAACCAGCTTTGTATTTGTACAATATTGATAGTATACAGTAAATGAACAATGTGTATTACAGTATTTTTCTGTTACCTGCACCAAGATCGAGGTTATTTGTCAGCAAAAGTTCACCGTATGACGCAAACTTGGCTTTTGTGAAAACTACAGATCATACTGAGGAATTTTTGTATCCCCACTCATTGATAGTTTGATGGAGCCCAGTGCATTACGAGTATTGAAATTTTCCTACATTTTTCAGCACATCACTTTTTCTCAGTTTTCTCTAGTCATGTAGCACCGATTAAAAAAATATATATAATAAAATAAAATCATGTCTTTGCTGCATAGATAGCCAACTTTTATTAAAACCCCATATTACTGGTGACGAATTATCCCTTTAACAGTCCAATAAATTTCTTTAAATGTTTTTTTTTTTTTTACTTATCATGACCGTATGAACGCAAGATTCATACAGATTTCCATACAGTTGTGAAGGCGATATTCAATATTATGACAATAGCATTTTGACTAGATGTTGTGTATTTTTGGTCAGTATTGGTATTATTCTTCGGATAATTAAAAAAAAATTCAATATCTCTTTATTTTTTGGCTACTAATAGTGTTTTTATGTGATGAATTCTTTAATTACAGGCTGCAAGATATTATGCTCATCGGGATTCATATTTTTAGAATCTCCTTCCAATTCATGAGTTGGAATTTTAATTGAATAGAAAGCTGAACTGGAATTTGAACTGGAATTAGAGGAAGTGGAATTCATAATTACAGTTCAAAGAAATGTAATATACTGGCACACTATTTATATATTTTGGCCTATAAAACCTTCAAAATTAAAGACTATTTCAACTTTTAGATAAGGCTATTCAACTTCCTTTTCAAGTTACAAATTACACTTACTGAAGTTACAAGAATTTCTTAAAATTTCTGTTCCAGTTCTGCTTTTTAACTCAAATATTTGCTACTGCAATTCAAATCTCATGGTGATCAGCAGTATCAGTTGGATCTTAAAGTGTAAGAAAACACTAACGCTCCAGGCTTGATCAAGTTCCACATAGTTGTACAATAATATTTTCATTGGCTGTTAAAGTGCCATACAGCACAGCATTTTTGCTTTCAATGGTGTTAGAATTATCGGAGTGTTGTAATAACTGTAAATTGTCCCATCTGCTCAGGTGCAGGTGAGTACCTGGAAAGGTGGTGGTGTGGAGACCGCAGGTATGACTGCTGCAGTGGCCGAGGCAGCTGTGGGGTCATGCTGGAGGGCCAAAGGATTTATCAGGTGCTCCACTGGGTGCATCTTCCCTTCCTCCATTAACTTAGTTGCAGGGGCAGCAGAAAACATAGCAGGGTACTGGGCACCAAGGCCTGGAAGAGTCACTAAACATATACGTACAATTAGAACAATGGCAAAAATATGCAGACTATATAGTGTACTTTACACAATAGCATATTTTGTACATCACTATGTAAAGTGTGTACCATATGTTAGGTAACATATCATTTAAAATCTCAAATGAGGCAGTATAGAAATTCAGGTAAGTGAAGTTGAGTCAGAAAGTGCAAAAAGGATAAAGGTTAAAAGCAGAAAAAAGGAAAGACTGAGACTTACACAACCTGTCCTCATTTACAACAAGTGTATGACTCAGCTTAAGATTAGCGACAAAAAACACACCCACACACAGCCACATACACACCGTCTTACACACACACACACACACACACATTATTTCCATGTACAAAAACTCTTTTCATTCCCCATGTTAATTCAGACTTAGGTTTAAGTGACGTCAGAATACTCCAGTCAGGATTTTGCAGATCTCAGATCAGAATTCTGCAAGATCAGTCAGTTTCGACACAGAGCAGCTGATTAGTAAGAAAATAAAGTCATTAAGAACTTTGAACTCAATGCCCAAACAAAGTCAAACACTCTCAAAGCATTTTATAAGTGGTTTTCGTTCCTGTCTTATGTTAATGTATTTAATAACAGTCTATTCAGATGACTACATTGTAATATTTAATCTGGAGTTATATACAATTTTGAGAGCTTTTTGAGAATTGTTTGAACATTGTATGTATAATTGAAAGAAAGCATTTAAGCAATAAAATAAAAACCAAAAGCCTGCTTACTAGGGTAAGCAGTGACAGCTATGACAGCTGACAACTGTCATAAAGAAAGGAAGTTAGTGTTCCACTCCAGGCCAGTAGGGGCAGTACAGTTTAATAAATTATCTTACTTTTTTTTTTTTTATAACTCCAGTTTACTTGATAGCCATTTTTAGATTTAAGAATTTAATGTAAAACTAACTGGTGGTTCAATTTCAGTAATAAATAATATTAGTAAATTGTCTAGAAACTTCTTGAAGTTTCTAGATTCTGCCTCCACTGAATGGAGTAGAGCACAACTGAGTTAAATTCTTTATATATGTGGTTTAATTTCACACTGACTTGTGCCAGGCTTGATGCCCACTGGGTTCACAGCTGCCAGCTCTAGATTGGGCATGATCTCGTAAGGTTTGTCCAGCAATTTGGCCTTTCCTTCATGGTAGCGGCTGTAAATGCCTCGGCCAGCTGAATAGCCACCAAGGTATGAGCCGCGGGGCACTTGGCCCCTATTAACGGCCCCAGCACGGCCACGGCCTCTTACAGTACCTGCTTAAGATAAAAATGAAAGGAGGTGCTGTTCAGGTACAGAACCACAAGGAGGCACATATATATATATACAGTGTCTCACAGAAGTGAGTACACCCCTCACATTTTTGTAAATATTTTATTATATCTTTTCATGTGACAACACTGAAGAAATGACACTTTGCTACAATGTAAAGTAGTGTACAGCTTGTATATTTAGTATATTCAGCTTGCCATTAATGTCTAAACCGCTGGCCACAAAAGAGAGTACACCCCTAAGTGAAAATGTCAA